GCAAGTACCATAAGCTCCTCCTCAAAATATAATCAATGCCCACCTCCTCCCTTATCTCCACTGCTACTTGCCTAACCTAAGCCATTGCTGCATTTATCTCTTCTTAGGTAGGATAGTAACTTTCCAAATCCTCCCCCTGCTTTCACTTCTAGTTCCTAACATTCATTATCCACCCAGTAACTAGAGGGATCCTTCAAAAATGTAGATCATAGATTGGATGGATCATGACCCTCCTTCCCCCCCTCCCTTCCCGTGGCTTCCCAGCACTCTCAGCGCAAACTCCAGGCTGCTTCCCTGCTGGTCCTGCACCACCAGGTCCTTCACAGCCTCTTCTGCTCCATCTTCTTATCGTCCACCTATGCCGCCCTCTCATGGCTTTCTCAGAAAAGCCAGGAAGGACAGTCACTCCTCAGGGTTCTATACCTGCTCCTTGTGCCTGGACCATCCTTCCTGCAGTTTTTGCATGGCTGAATCCTTCTCTGCATTCTCAGATGTGGCCTTCCATGCCCGCTGATCAAAAGTAACTCACTCTACTGAGACAGTCTCTTCTGCTTTATTTCCTTCCATGATGATTACCAAGATCTAAAATTATTATGTGATTTGTTTTAGTGGTTTATTATATGTGCTATCTTGTATGATTACTGTTGTAGCTCCCACCCCTAAAATGATGTCTATTAGATTATAGGTACTTGGTGCTTAAGGCGTATTTACAGAGTGAATAAGTCAGCAGCGTGTTTCTAAATATAACACACATCTCTAAATATGAAAAGAGAGTGTAAGTACCTATGTAAACATGGCACTTTGGAATATTCAGTGAGAGAAAGTTTGTACTTCCTAAGCCTGGGTCAAATATTACCCCAAATGTTACGGATTGTACTAAATTGTATGTGTTTGTAAACATAGAATCTTAACATATACTAGTTTTCTAATCCTTTGTTTTTTTGTATAATACTTAGGATGATGGTTTAAGTCAAAGGTTTCATGTTCATAATTTGATAGCAGAGTTCATGTCTTTATCAGGTTACTATTCTTCAATGGATACAAATAATTATTAAAGAATGGTGCTACTGTTAATAAGCGTAATAGTATTTGCTAATATTTTATGGTTTAATGCATTATATTGATATTAAAAATAATACATGTATGTAACATATTTATGCTCTAATTACAGCATGTGCAGAGATACAGTGATTATATACATTTGTACTTATATAGAATATATGTGATTTTCAACAAAGTTTTCAAATGAACTTATAAGCCCATATGAGGACGTATACATGAAAATATCTATGTGGCTAAACTGTTCTATTTGTAAAATAAGTGAGATAAGATTTTGTGTTTTTCTAAACTGTGATATTAATGGAGTGATCACAAGACTAAGATTCAGAAAATCAGGTTTCGAATGCAGTTTCTGCTACTAACTACTATGATGTTGAGCAGGTCATTATATTCACTAGCATGTAAGCTCCATGTGGGCAGGGGTGCTTGTCTGTTGTGTTCACCGCTGGATCACCAGCATCTAGAAAGACTGGGCCCAGTGTAAGTGCTGAACAGAATTTGCTGCATGAATTATGCTTCACAAAATCTCTAGTTTCTACACCTATTAAACAGTTCCTCCCAACCCTTTCATTCTGAATAATATTAGAGCCCTTTGAATTTAAATGGGACAGATTCATAGCTGGAACTATTTATTCAGCTTTTACCTGGGCCTTTATAAAATTGTTCAGTCCATCAAAGCTCTTTGCATTGAATAGTAGCATGAATAAGGCAAGAGCTAAGTTGGTCTATGTTTTCCATCTTCAGAAGAACTAAAAAACAACTTTAAAATTAAAAATATGTAATTCAGATTCACAAAATTAAATAGGAGAGGAAGGTCAATAGCCAACCTTTCAAATGATGTCTTTTCAAAGTGTCTAGCATTTATATTTTTGGAAGCTACTAAGGTTTAAAACTGCTCTAAGGATTTTGGGGTACCCTTTAGATATACCCTTTTTTAAGAAAACTTGATATTCCAATTTTTTAAAGCAAAAAAATTAACTGACTCTTCACTTTTAATTTTTGTTTCTTTTCACTAATTAAACAAATATGTAATGAATGACAACCATGTGAAACCTGTATTGGGAAATGTACAGAACGCAGGTCTTGACAGCCTGCCTCCACGGTCCCCTGGACTGCCAGCCGTCCACAGAGCGGACAGAGCCAGCATCCGCATTGAAAAGACGGCAGAAGGAACCTGGAGGACTGTGTGCTACTGACAAAACAACAGCCCCTCCCGACCACCGTGCAGCCTCCCACCACAGTCACCAGGATCAGTTCCTCGAGGGGTTACTTCCCTGTCCAGTGTTTAATGAGACCCTGACCCCTTCTTTAAAAACCCATTTCTGCTCTTTCACGTCTCCTGCCTCACGTTTTTTACACAACAGGTATTACCAGTGATATTATTTGTTTATGTGTTCATTCCCTTTCTGGTGTACACACAAGAAATACACACTGTGGAATGTAAGCTCCAGGATAGCAGGAAGTTTGTCATTTACCAGTATGCTCCCAGCACCTAGAGCAGTGTGTGACACACATTAGGGGCTTCATAAATATTGGTTGGTTGGTTGGTTGGTTGGTTGGATGGATGGATGGATGGATGGATGGATGGACGGACGGATGAAAATCTGAAGGAATGTATGCTCTAACCTGAAACTCCTTACTGCTGATCCCTTAACTGTTTCTCCTCCAGTTTCCAACATCACCTTATTATTTAGATTTAGATTTAAAGTTTGCCCACACTTTCTCTAGCCATGATTATCAAAGAATCTGGTCCCTCCCCCACCCCATCCCACCCCCAGCTGTATTGCCTCATCCCGCCTTGGAAACTTTTGTCACAATTGGTAATAAACCCTCGGGGCTTGTCCCGGCCCCTCAGGTGGGATCTGGCCAATGTGTGTGCATGAAGGACGTGTTGCTCTACCACAGTCACTTCATAAAGGACGTACATCTAAGAAGGAGGCACAGTATTTAGATACATATAAATATACCGAAACTATACAGCACTCAGAACGGCCGTAAATGAAGGCCCTGCCTTTGGTATGTGTACACATTCTACAATAACAAGTCAATGAACAAGACAGACACCAGAAATTCCTATGCCTTTGCTGGTTAAATGGGAACATCTGCATAAATGTTGGCAGGAGTGCAAATTGCTGCAATGTTTCTAAAGGACAACTTAGAAATAGCTATTAAGATTAAACAGATCCCTACACTTTAACCAGCTTTTCAATGTCTAGAAATGTGTTCTATAAAAACTCTCTAACAACTGAGAATGCTCATCAAGAAAGAGATGGTTTAAGTATGATGCCACATAGCCATACGATGGTACAGTGCACTCATTAAAAACAATAATCAGGGATGAGTTTGTATTATAATTATATTAAATGGATTGAGAAAATTGCACATTAGGACTGTGGTATCATCCTGTTACTGAGTTCATCCCACTGTTCTCCATACTAGGGATAGCAGTCAGCAATATTCACATGTCTCTCTCTCATAGAAATAAGTTCTATTTGGGGAAACAGACAACAAACAAATTGAGGTTTATTAGAAGATGGAGCAATGCTCTGAAGAAATATGAAGCATGGCAAGAGGATAAAGATTGATGAGGACTGAAACAGACCCAAATAAGATGAGGGAGAAAGGCAAAAAATGTCAGGAGGGGCAGCCAGGAAGGAAACGGCCTGAAACACATGCTTGGAGTGGATGAGAAACTCAAGGAAGGAAGTACGACCGGGAGGCAGTGTGCACATGGGATGAGGGTGAGATCTGAGAGGAAGCCAAGTCCTAGGTAGCATTTTGTAGGCAATGAAAACAAGTTTGCATTTTCTTGTAATTTCGATGATAAACCATCACAAGAACTTGAGCAAGGAAGTATCATAATCACACTTGTGTTCTCCTGTAGAGAATATTCAATATTGAGCCCATACCACATAACCAATGATATCTTTTATTAGACAATCTAGAAAAGGGGTGCAAAGATAAAAAATCAGAGGAAAACATGCACTTTTTCATATGGCTTATCTAACTGTTTTAGGCACCTGCTTCACAGAAGTGTTATGAAGATTGAAAAATTTATGTGTATATTCATATATATGTAGTTTCTGAATGTGCCTATGTATATAAAGCATTTTTCATATATTATTAATGGATATTAAATGATACTGTAGAGGAATTGAAATAAACCCAGATATGCTTATGGGATGTTTAGATGAAAAGGGCATGGCAGGTGTTAAAAGTCCAATAGTTTCCCTAACCTTTTGGTATTGCCCTAATCAAATAAATGTTCTAGAACTTCATTTCCATGCTGTAAATAGAATGTTGCCTAATATTCTATTATTCTAACAGGGGCTCTAGGATATTGCTCTAAAGTCCATGGGCCATGAGATAACTTTGAAACCTTGGAATTAAGATAACACCTATTCAGCCTACATAAGCAACATACATGCCATCTTAAATGAGATTGTGTTTGTTAAAGTGTTGCGAAAATCATCAAATAAAATACCGAAGTTTCTCTGCGAGGACTGCTGCTAAGTGGCAGTACCCAAACCGTGGTATTTTCCATGCTTTCTTCTCCTTTAAAGGACATGGCCCCTCATTTAGGACGGTTCCCACACATTGGAGCACTCCAGATCAGGTTTTCGGCATTCTCTTTCCACAGAGCAATTTGGTGCCAAATCTGTTTTTTCGTTGACGTTCACAACTTCGGCAGCAATAATACAATGAGTTCATTTTGTCTGGTTGAGATTCAGGCAGTCCCTGAAACCGGAGCAATGGTGCCACCCCTCTGGGCCGAAGCACGCTGTGGCAAAAAGATTTAATCCATCAGATGATTCTGTCGGACACTGTTTTTCTGAGTTTAACTTTTAACTATGCGCATAATGGACTATTGTATTTGCAGAGTCCATATTCAGGAAACTGCCTAAACCAAACTTAGAGTTCCTTTCACTCTCTCCTGGCAGAGTCGGGCCACAAGAAGTTAAAAAGCACCATCCAGAGAAGCACAGAAACGGGAATGGCAGCCGAAATGAGGAAGATGGTAAGACAGCCAAGTCGAGAGTCTACTGACGGCAGCATCAACAGTTACAGCTCCGAGGGAAAGTAAGTGACGTCGGCTCACCTGTGTGGCTGTAGGACCATGGGCATGTGGTGATAGGAAAGATAACACCGCCACCCAGGGTGACTGCGAGCTTCTCCACTTCACTAGCTGGTCGGTCATCCATTTAAAAACACCTGACCTTGTGAGACAGACACACAGACACACCTCCGCACAGACCTAGTCATGCAGAACCTTCAAAGGAATGATGCAGTGTTGGGTTAACATAAACTGATCTCTATCTCTCAGAAAAGTTCAGAATAGTCCACTCATGGCTGTTTATGGTAGCAATGTCACCTTTACTGGATTCTTTCACATAGGAAATACATTGTCTGGCCCGGTTACCAAAATCTGAATTAAAATTTAGACGTGAGGAACAGACTAACGGCTGTCAGAGAGGAGGCGGTTGTGGAGCTGGTGAAAAACCTGAAGGGAATAAGCAAAAACAAACAACAACAACAAAAAAAAACCTCATAGACACAAACAACAATGTGGTGATTGTCAGAGGGAAAGGGGAATGGAGGGAGAGGTAGAAGAGGACATAAGGGGAATAAGTGGTGATGGAAGGAGACCTGACTTGGAGTAGTGAACACACAACACAATGTACAGACTATGTATTGTATAACTGTACACCTGAAACCTATATAATTTTATTAACCAGTGTCACCCCAATAAATTCAATAAAAAAGGGAAATCAGGAAAAGAAAAAGAAAAAAGAAGTGAACTAATTTTCATATTCTTACACTCTCATAACGGCAACTTACATTTTTGTGTTTTTTAAAACATCACTAACATCATTTTTCCCTTAAGATAAAAACCCAGAATATCTTCTTTGTTGCTGTTTTATTAGAGTTTTAGTTAATTCTAAAATTAATTAATTTTGAAAAAATATAACGAATTTTTTTTTTTTGCTTACCTAGTTTTTTACTATTTCATTTTCCTATGCTTGAGAATTTTTCTGATAAAACTGAATTTTTACTGAGGTGACAGATCTTACAAATTAATAATTATTCTTCAGTGGGTTGCTTGGGGATTAACCATGTAAAAATTTTTATAGTTATTCATTTATTACCATTTAAATAACTAATTTACCAATCCTAATATTAATATTTTATTGTATTTCACTGGAATTTTTCTATTTTGTTCAGAAAATGAAATAAAAGTATGCCAAGTTCATATTTGCGATATGCTTTCCCATCCCTAAAACTTATTTGATCAAATTATTGGGATGCATGCTATCAGCTAAGACCAAAAAATCATCAGGAGTGAAATTTATGGGGGTAAACTTGCTGACCAAAACACCAATATGTGATGAAGTCTTATAAAGCAATATCCAAATGCAAGACTGGAGACATTTTTTATATAAAAATTAACAAATCAAATAACATTTACATCCATCATGGATAGGCCCCTTAGCCTCTCAAAAATTTCTTTTCAGAGTCTCTGGATGGGTGGTCATATATACCCTTTTAATTCCCTTGATTGTGAAAAAATAGTATCTGGGGAAGCACATTGGAAGCAATAAATCCCTATGGACATCTGTTTATTTTAAAAATGCTCATTGCAGTCCAACCACCTAACAAGCCTGGTTCTTGTTACCCAGGATACATCACTAAACAAGAAGAGCATAGTCACTGCTCTGGTGGAGCTCACAGCCCAGGAAATGCAGGCAGCCATGCTGTAGTAAGAAACAGACACATTTTAATCAATCCATTGCATTTGAACTAAATAAAAATCTCAGATAATATAGAAATGCAATTCACTCAAAATGAATAAGTTAAACATTTTATTTTTAAATAAGAATGTGTATTATGCTATAATATTTAAGAAATCATTAGGTATTTTTAAGTTTATCATTAATATTACACAATGTTTATGAGCAATTATTTAAAGTTCATGATATAAAAATGTGCATCTTATATTTTATGTCAGTGATATACTAGTATTTAGGTAGGGAATTTTATTTGTAGGTGTCCAGAAAATGTAAGATATTAAAAACTATAACAGAGCTCTCTTGACTATCACATCTGCTCTTAATTTGAGAGTTTAGATCTTTTCTCAATCAATGATGACTCTCATATGCTTGCTTGGTGCCGAGGCGATGCAATCGATAAGTAAACCGATTGTCTAAGCAGTGTTTATGATTCATGATCAGAATTAGTAGTATAATGGGAACTATGACAAGAATTCTAGGAGAGCTAATGTTTTGATTTTTGTACTTTTGCTAATAGCTTAATATTTCCTGGAGTGAGACTAGGAGCGGACAGTCAATTTAGTGATTTTCTCGATGGGCTGGGACCAGCCCAGCTTGTTGGCCGCCAAACCCTCGCCACCCCTGCAATGGGTAAGAATCAGTTTTTCTACAGAACAAGTGATATTTCACGGTTGTCAAGGTCATTTAAAGTAGCATAATTGTAATGCAAGTTAAAAGTAACATTTCAGCTAGGGTGTTGCTGGTTTCAAATGACTGTTCTAATTTCCCATACATTTTTCTAACTTGAGATATTATGCAAAATGAATAAAGATAGTCCTACATCTTTGAATTATCAGAAAACCCCTGTCAAAATAGAGAGTCTCCAGTAGATCCATAATGAATGGAGAAAATTATATGTAGCATGTGCCATAGCTGTTTCCTGAAGGACATGAGATTCCATCTTGAAGGGACCCATGTAGCACTCAACAAAAGGCTTGAAAATAGGTCGATTCAGAGGCAAACCATCCTAGTAGATCACACCACCAGAAAGTAACAGAAAGTCCTCCAGCAGAAAATCTTCTGAAGAGGATAATTCTATGCAAAACTATCAAAATCAGATTTCCAGTGGACTCTTTAACAACAACACTGGGAGCTAGAAGTCTAATGAGCATTATCTTCAAAATTCTGAGTAGCAATTGGTTTCCAGCATAGAGTACTATAGCCAGCCAAGTTTTCAAGTAAGTTTAAGTTTAAGGCTAAATAAAAAGTCAGGACAGTAAAGGCCTCCAAATATTTTTCTCATACCCAACATTGCTCAGAGAACTATACTTCCACGAAATGAATGAAGTGAATTTTAAAAATTGTGAACTAAAATGAGAAGATGAGATCCAGTAAATAAATGTTTCAACACAGAGAGAAATGGTTGGTAGCGAAGGAAAACCTAAAGATAACAGCTGTAGTAAGCTTTCAAAGCAATTTGTTCAAATTATATCATGTCAGACTTCATAAGATTAACATCTATAGAATACCTAATGTATTTGATTTTATGGAAGAGGTAAACAACTCAGGAGTGTGTGGGGTTGAATTAGTGATATGTACATAAAAGTGTAAGCAAATGCTTTCTAAAAAGATACTTATTAATTGCAGGGAAGGGGAAGAGCTGTCCAAGAAATGAGAAGTAATAATCATAGTATTCCAGTTCACTCCGCCATAAACAATGTTACATAATCATAATAATATAAATATTAATACTGGAAAATGGGATGACTGAAAGTATCTAGTATGTGGTGGGGATAAGAAAGAAATGAGAGATTTTGAAATTAGAAGTCAATAATAATATCTACAATTGAAAAACTAGGGTGATATCTTGTAAGTGTAATACTTAGAGATATGGAGGCAAATGCCAAAAAGAAATAGATCAGATGAAAATATTGAGACTTATGAAAGCAGTGACCCTTGGAAGGCATGAAGTTGACAGAGAGAATGGGAATCTTTTATACTAATAAAAATCGTCTTATAGCCCAGCCAGCGAGGCTCAGTGGTTAATTGTGGATCTGTGTTCCAGAAGGTCTCGGTTTGATTCTCAGGCAGGGCACATGTGGGCCCAATCCCCAGTGTGGGGTGTGCAGAAGGCAGCTGATCAATGATTCTCCCTCAACATCTCTCTCTCTCTCTCTCTCTCTCTCTCTCTCTCTCTCTCTCTCTCTCCCCCTTCCTCTCTGAAATAAGTAAAAATACGTTTTAACAAAACAAAACAGACGTCTTATAGAACATTTTGACTCATTAAACTATGTCTATATGAAAAGACAAGGAGACCTCCAAGAGCTGAGATCTAAAACAGAGTGACAGAACTAATGAACAACTGACCTGGAAAATAGAATTCACAACTGAAAAATGGAGATGGCTCAACTAAAAATAACTTCAAAATAATTAAATTTAACAATTTCAGAGATAAAGTATTATATCCATCAGAAAAAGATTATCTTATTTAAAGTGGGTAAAGCATATGACAAGCAAGACATAAGGGAAGGAATACAAGTTGAAATTACTGAGAAATATGTTCAGCCTTCCTAATAATCAGGAAAGTACAAATTACAAATTTTTAACCACCAGGTTAGCAAAAATTAGACATATTGTTAATACCACTATTAGTGAGCTATACTACTTCTGGTGATAGTGCAAACTGGTACAGCCTTTCTGAAGGATATTTGGCAATATGCATGGAATTTTGAATGCCCGTTCAATTAGACCCAATAATTTAAAATCTGAGAATTTATGATCAAGAAGCATTGACAACATATGCAAAAATTCTTTTTAGAGCTACTCATTATAATGGTAACAATGCAGATAGCCTATATTTGGTTAAATAGTTAATGATATGCCTATTTAGTGGCCCATACAATCAATAAACTGAGGATGTATGGTCATAATAGCTAGATAAATAAGTAAGAAGGAAGGAAGGAAGGATGGGAGGAAGAGAGGAAAGTACTTATGAGATTGCTAGGATATTCACCAAAACAATAATGGTGATTTCTCTAAATGGAAATATAGATAGAATATGCTTTTTATTGAGAAGTATTGTATACTAGATGACATAAAGGATAATAAATCTTATTAGAGTACAAGAATCACTTAAATACCTCAGTATATTGTTGTTAAGCAATTTATAACCTAACCTGGGATTCTCTTAAGTAGATTAGTACCTGAAAAATGAAGAGAAACATTTTGAAACCTGATTTGGAAGTAGGAAGAGAAGGGCGAGGA